ATTTATATATAATACTACACAAGTTAGAAAATATGATTTTACAACTATGATATTGATGGAATGATTGTACAAGCGAAGGGTTCCATGAATTTTTTTTCATAGACTCCTTAGCTTGGATCTGCGTCTTAAAAAGTGACTAGTAGTACCAAGATGAAAATGACATGACGAATTCCAGAGATAAAATCCACAACTACTCACTTCGATCCGAGAGTCACAAAGGAAAGGGCTAACCTACAAATAGAAAGAAGCGGGTACACATACCCGTATTATGTTGTAGTTAAACAATAGTATATATATAACGTCAATGATTTATATGATGTAACGTGGATAAAAATTTTATCTTTCATTATTAATGTAAATTGATTTTAGAATATAAAAAAGAATACATAATAAATAACTGGAGTTATGTGTGCAAATACATAATTAATTTATAACAAAACTAATGATATATATTTCACTTATTTTATTTAAAAATATTAATTTTAGAATATAAAAAAGAATAAATTATAAATAATTAATGTTATGCATGCATATACATGATTAATTTCTAACAAAACTAATTATATATATATATATATTCATATTTTTACTTATTTTTTTATTCTTCCTCCATTTATTAAAACAAAAAATAGAACCATTGATATAGAAAAAGGGATAAAAAAAATTATTTTTTGAATCAAATGAACTAATTGTGTTATATATATATATATATGTATGTTAAGATAATATTTAGTAGATTCAGAGTATATAGTATAAATAATTTTTTTTAAAAAAAACCATCTAAGTTGTACGAAATATATTAAAATCAATAATCTGAAATAAAAACTACTACAAAATTAATTCTCATAAATCTTACTTCTTAATTTGTACTACAAAATTAATTCTCATAAATTCTTAAATTACAAATTAAATAATAAATTAGTTCATCTCATTTTGAAAAATTAATTAATTAATTTTTTATTACCGTTGACCATGAATAATTTATTTTTTTATTTTAAAAAAGTCTTTTTTTATATTTTTCCTATATTTTTTAGTCTTTCTTTACTTTATAAAACAAAAAATGAAAAAAGAAAAAAACATAGTTTTTGAATCGAAGGGACTAATAGTGTTATGTATGCGGATACATAATTAATTTTCAACAAACTTAAAAAAATAAATCATATTTATCAACAAATAAAAGTTCATAAAAAATTTAATTTGATGAGAATTTTTATAATGAACGACAAATTTAAGAGTTCAATTTTAATCAATAAAAACATATAATTCGATATATGTGTTTATTCTAAAATTTAAAAACATAATAGGCCAAAAACATTTTTTAAAAATATGAGGAACAAAAAGTATATTTTCAAAAAAAGTGAGGTAAAAATACACTAAATTAAAAACATGAGATTTCAAAATATTTTTAAAGATATGAGGATTTAAAAATATATTTTAAAAAATAAAGGACAAAAAAAAATGAAGTGTAAAATTTAAAAATGAATAAAAGAACTATAAGGAAATCATGAAAATACCATTATAAAAAAATAATAAAATAATTTTACTAAAAGCCAAAAGAGGGCCTTGTCTACATAAAGCGAAGGAAAAAAAGAAGAAGAGAGCTTTGGCTAAAATAAATAAATAAATTTCATTATTCAAATGAATAGTAAAACGGATTGGAAAGGTCATTGTTCAAATGAACAATAAACTTCTTTGATCTTTTAGCGTTTATTAGAATACTTGAATTTGAGATGATAATGAGATGGATATAAAACGAATATATGTTTTATTCAATCAAATAAATACCTATTAAAAATGTTTAATGAGTATTGAAGTGGTAAAAAAAAAATTGTCTACTAATATGGTTTCGAGTAAGAGTTTTCATTCTTTACTCTATTAATACATACTAATTAATTTTGATTTTTTTATTAACATATATGGATCTAATTGCATAAAATTTAAAATTTAAAAATCAAAATATTTTTTTCAAAAGCTTTGAGGACCAAAAAAACTTAGAAATAATGACCAAAATGAAATAATAATAATAAAAAAAAATTTAACGATAAAATTTTTTTTAAAAAAATTTATAAGGACTAAAATAAATATTTTTGATAAATTATTTTTAGTGGATATTAAATAGGTATTAAATGAACGAATAAATTAATATGGACTGGGCAAAAATTTATATTATGATTTATTAATGGATAATAGATATGATATTATTTTTATGGATATAATAAAAAAATGAATTAATGGATCGGGTACTGTCAATTATCATTCCTAACTTGAATGCTGAATGCTATGAGTCAAGAAAGAAAAAATCATTGAACATAATGACATTAACCAGATGTAAGTATATAAGAATGACTATCACGTGCTGTGGTTTTAAATTATAACATACTAATATGATTTCGGAATATGACTATCCATTATTTATTCTGTTAAAACCTACTAATAAATTTTGATTTTTTATTAACATATAGGGATCCAATTGCATAAACTTTAAAAATTAAAGATCAAAATATTTTTTTCAAAAACTTTAAGGACAAAAAAAAACTTATAAATAATTACCAAAATGCAAAAAAAAAAAAAAAATTACTTTTGAGGACAAAATTTTTTTAAAAAAAATTATAAGGACTAAAATAAATATTTTTTATAAATTATTTTTAGCGGATATTAAATAGGTATTAAATGAACAGATAAATTGATATGGACTGGGCAAAAATTTATATAATTGTTTATTAATGGATAATAGATAGGATATTATTTTTATGGATATGATAAAAAAATTGAATTAATGGATCGAGTAGTCGTCAATTATCATTCCTAACTTGAATGCTGAATGATATGAGTCAAGAGAGAAAAAATTACTAAACATAATGACATTGACCAGATGTAAGTATATAAGAATGACTATAACATATTGTAGTTTTAAATTGTTGAACGTAATTGTAAAAACATTTGTAATTGCAATTGTAATTTATAGTTTATCACGATAATAAAATGGCGATTATGGAAATCGATATCATAAATACATTAACATGCTAACAGTTATTAATAAATTTATTTTAATTTACATATTATTAACAATTTTATTAATTAAATATAATAATAATATTTTTAATAATTTAATATCATAAAACAGTAGTTGGATTTAATAATAATAATAATAATAATAATAGTAGTAGTAGTAGTAGTTTAATATCACATACAATAATAAAATATAAAAAATAATTTTTTTGAATAATAGTTGTTATTTATCAAGTAACAACAAATAACGACATTATATAATATTATTGTATTTCGTATAATAACATATAATAGTAACAAACTAGTTAGATACTCGCGCTACGCAACGGTCGACAACCATTATATACGTTGGGTTAATGATTCGTATGGTGTGATGCGAGTAGAAGTTTTGTTTCTAAAGATTAATATAAATCGAATCTATATATTAAGCAAAATTATTTGATTTATATATATTTATTAACAAAATAATTTATAATATTAATATAAAAAAATATATTTAAATAATTAAGAGGTTCTTTCAAAATATTAAATAAATTATTTTATTTAAAAATATAAATTTTAGGACATAAAAAAATAAATAACAAATAATTAGTGTTATGTGTGCGGATATAATCAATTTCTAATAAAACTACTATATATGTATTGTACTTAACATATTTAGAATATATAAAATAAACAAAAAAAATATAAAAAAATCCACCGAAATCACATGGAATATATCGAAGTGAATAGATTTAACTAAAAAACTATTATAAAATCGGTTTCGATAAATTCCGATTATAGATAGATATATAAAGATCAAATAAAACCCGTAAATTTTTCAACTAATTATTAATTTTTTTAAAAAAATTGAGTCAAATTATTTTTTAACCGATTATTATTTTAAAAAAATTAAATCAAATTATCTAAAACACCCTATTAGCTCTCTCTCTCATCAAAATTTATCTATGCAACTACGCTACTCTCATTTAAGAATCATAAAAATAATAAATCGTATAAAATAATATATTTTTAAAAAATAAAACAATCATGTTCTTAAATTTTATTTCAAAATCAATATATAAAAAAAGTCAAATGTATTAAAAAATAAAATATATATATATATATATATATATATATATATATATATATATATATATATATATATATATATATATAATTTGATAAGAATTTTAGTAAGAAACAAATAATTAAAGAAATAAATTTTAAATAATATAATCGGATATATATGTTCAAACTAAAATTTTAAAAAATATTATATATATTCTATTACCGTCGAATTGTATGTAAAGCTAAAAAAATAATAATTTTTTTAAAAAAAATTAACACCTTATTTTATGATAAAAAAAATATAAAGATAAATTATTAGGAAAAAAAAAAAAGACAAACGGGACTGCTTGAGCCAAGCCTGCCTGAGCCTGTTACCATACCCCGGCTGAGTCTGCTTCTCCAGGACTGGGCTGCTGGCTTACTCTTTGAAAAAAGCTATAGTAAACGAACAGTAAAAAATCTCAGATATTATGGTTTTTGTTTTTTTTTTTTTTTTCAGTAATATAGCCCAATCCATTATACCATAGCTATTCTGTTACCCCGTTGTTTAAAAGCATGTCACCAAAATATAGCACTCTTAGCTGCTAAACCAACCGTAGAAAGTCAGCCTCGGATTGTTTTATTTCGGCCGTTACAAGTAGGGTAGTCAATTCATATGCTTAAAACAAAAACATTACGTGGTCCCTTGGAAAAAAAGAAAAGCCCAAATTCGCACATGGTGCTCGGCACTTTTGCCTGCCATCACTCTTGGTGGTGAATGAGTAGGCACCAAGTAGGCGAACTTCAGTGATAAAATAAGTTTTCTATTTGGAAGTTTGCATAACAAACACGCGAATTTGTTCTTTAAATCAATCCATATATAGTAACTGCAAGGGAGACCGAACTGATAAAGATCTAGTTTGGAGTCCCTTGAGCCCAAGGTAGAAGAAACCTAGTCTGCAATGTCTTACGTTTTGCCTCCTAAAGGAATCCTCCAAACCGAGGCTCTGAAAAAGGTCTCTCGATCTCTTTAATTTCTCTCTTTGAATGTGCTTCTGTATGTGTTTATTATAATTATAAGCGAGCCTGCATATGATGTATTTATTTATGTCCGTCACATCCATTGTATATAAGTTATTCTAGAATCATTAGTTCTCTAGCTAGTTGATCAGAACAATAAAATAAATATTTCTTTTCAAATCTTCTATCCACAATACTTTTTGTTTTGCACAGGGGGAGTCCATTGGAGAGTCATTTAACTTCAGTTTAAATCCAAACTCTTTCACCACATTTAACAACTTTTTCTTTCATGGATATGTGCTCAGTTTATCAATCAAAAAAAAAAAAAAAAGAGTAAAAAGAGTTTCAAATACAATAAATTTAAACATAATTCATATGCTAAACCTCTTTGTCATCCGTCCTAGACTTAAAAAAGGTATTTGATTGAAGTAGAATCCTCTGTTTTTGCAAAGTTTAAATTAATCACGATCGGTCAGCAATGGATGGATTTTGCTCTAATGGGTGTTATAAGGAACAGTCAAAGGCAAGTTTTAGTATATTTTTCTAATTACTATAGTGTAAGTAGTAATATGAAAGCAGAGATTTATGTCTTTAGAAATGATCTAACGTTGCGTAACGAGTTATATCTTGATAACATGTTGGTAGAATCAGATTTTCTTTTCTTGTGGCTATAGATCCAATAAATAATAATGTTTAAGCATCTTGGAAATTTATTCATATTCTTAGCCAGTGTCAAGCTTTAATGGGTTTGCATGCTATCGACCACATTCTACGTCAGAAAAATTTGGTTACGGATAAGTTGGCTAACCTAGCTCATTTCCACAAATCTAAGATCATGTACAATCATTTTAGAGAACTACATCTTGAAGTTCAAAATGCTTGTAGAATGATATTTTTTTATATCTATAGTTATAGACGTTAACTTTGTATGCATTTTTTGGAATGTCCTTGTCCTCATAGTATATTAGGTCAAGCCGGATTGCTTCTTTATATATTAATTGGATATTAATTTTGTATGTTATTTGTGTTAGGAGTGAGTTTTCCTTGTTCTCGCATTTATGGGTTAGGCCGGTTTTTACCTTTTCTATTTTATATTATATTGTATTTTTGCTTTATCCTTGCTCCGCTCGTATGTTGAGGTTAAGCTGATTTATCCTCAATGTGTATCTCTATTTTGGTTATTAATCAAAGTTTTGCACGGTAATGCCTTCTGTTTCTTTATATATACATATATATATATAGGACATTTTCACCACACACGTAACTTCAAATGACATAATTTTCACTTCGCTGGATTGCAGACTGTTTAATTATATTTATTTATTGAATAATTTTCACTTCAAAAAGAGTAGTCTCACTTGTCCCTGCAAAACCAATTCATTTTTTCTCAAAAACTTTTCAAGTACTGTTTTGCAATTTTACCTTTTCTGCGTTTGATTACTGTCATTTGATTATGTTCATATTGATCCTTTGGTATAAAGCATGTCCACGATCTATAACTTGTAAGAGTCCTTTAATTATCTTGATACCAAAATTTCCTTATGTTCTAATATTTCTTTCAATTTCTGGATTTCATATAGTATATATATGAAACTAGTGCATTTCCTGGAGAACATGAACAACTCAAGGAGTTACGAGAGGCAACAAAAAAGAAATATGGCAACTTGTAAGTAATAAACTTGATGAAATTTCATAGAAAAATTTTATAGTTTCGTTTTTTCTATCGCTGGTCTAATATTGGGAGTTACTAAACTATGAGTTATAGTGCGAACAAGAAATTACAGTAAAGAAATGTTCAAGTTATTTGAAATCAGAGTAGGTTGTGAATTTAAAGTCACGGAAGAGACATGAACACCAATGATCAACTTTTGAGGTTCCCTTTATTTTGACTATGTTAAGTAAATTCGTGTCGTGAAGTGTATCCTTTTCTTCTGAAATTTCCATTGCAGAAGTGAAATGTCTGTACCAGTTGATGAAGGGCGTTTTCTGTCGATGCTTTTGAAAGTCATGAATCCCAAGAGGACACTGGAGGTTGGTGTTTTTACAGGCTATTCTCTCCTTTCCACTGCACTGGCCTTGGCCCAGGATGGTCAGGTAGGTTATTGATCTACGAAGAAAGTAACAATTGGCTTTAAGACATAGAACGCCTTCATGCTTGTTTAATTTGTGCCACAAATTAATGAATAATATAATCTACACTGATTTGTTTTCTTTATGATGATAATTAGTGATTATGCATTTGAGAGTGACCATTTTGTGCCTATAGATAACAGCAATAGACAAAGATGGAGAAGGTTATGAAATTGGATTACCATTCATTCAAAAGGCTGGCGTGGAGGGAAAAATCAATTTTATTCAATCAGAAGCCAGCTCAGTTTTAAGCGAAATGCTCAGCAATGTAAGCTTTTCATCTTTTCTTTCTTTTCTAATTTGCTAGTTCAATTATTTCTGCATTTGTTTCAGGACAAGCAGCCAGAATTCGACTTTGCATTCGTGGATGCTGACAAGTCTAACTACAAGCATTATCATGAGCAATTATTGAAACTGGTTAAAACTGGAGGGATTATTGCTTATGATAACACATTGTGGTATGGCTTGGTAGCAAAAGAAGAAGATGAGGTGCCAGAGCATTTGAGGATTGTCAGGACAGTCATAATGGAATTCAATAAACTACTAAGTTCCGATCCCCGCGTGGAGATTTCACAAGTTTCCATTGGTGATGGCGTTACATTATGCAGGCGCCTTTACTGAAATATTATCTCATGCAGATTTGAGATCTCTTTTGTTCTAATGCTACTTATGCCTAAGAATGTCTCGCACATTCTATAACACTAATGCTCTATTTTATGGGAAACTAATAAATTTATGCTTATTCCTCGAACACCTCACCAACCGTAAAAACTGAAAAAAAAAAAAAAAGGTTAGTGTACCTATCATACAATTTCAATCTCAACGAGCAAAGAAATAGAGTTGGCATATCCATCCCTTAAAATAGGGTCATAGACTCTCTTTATGAAATAACTTATACTAATTACTTCTAAAGTACTAATTACTCATAGAGTCTTATAAAATTTCTTGTGTTTTATTAACTCCAAGGCATTCTCCAAAAAACAACACACCCTCGCACCTCTCTAGCTCCACTCGGTGGGATGGTCCTCATATAATTTACTACAAACCATTCTTTTCTCCAATCTCCTATGAAGTTAGGTTTGCTCACAAACATTCCCTTTAGCTTACTCAGCTTTTTAATCGAAAAAGTATAGAGGCAACCTATTCTGTTCTTCTTTCATAACTCTCAGCCAAGAAGTAGCAATGTGTAAAAAGTCACGTATGAAAATAACCTCACACTACCTATAAAAGTTCTCAAATACAGCTGCAATGGGCCACTCATTCGGGTGAAACCAACTAATGCACAAGTGTAATGTTACATAACCTTTGCTGCAAACTCAAGCAAAGAGAATCTATAGTTCTAAACGAATATACACACAGGAACGATTATCTTCATATTCCTCCTCTTAGCATTGATCTGGATGCTTATTAATTATGTCATTTCAACTGGAAATAAAAGCAAATATTTTCATCTCAAGCTTTTATTAAGATCGACCAACCTTTTTATAGACAACTTAGTACCTTATCGGTGTGTTCATCAACTAGAGAGAACTAGGTTTTCATGCAATCCTATAAAGAAGTACCATTTCCATATCCGGACTCATCTTCTTTCACTTATGCTCTCCTATTGATATAGCTTTAGATTCACCCCTTAATTTGATCTAAATCTACCTTTTTTTTTTCAAAGAAAGAAATAAATAGAAGGTTTAAGATTTACCTTTCGTAAAATACTCGTCAATTGCTAGAAAAAGCAGGATTGTTGTAAAAAAAATGATAGCTCTTTTTCATAAAACCGCCAATTTAAGGGTGGTTATCACTCCACAAGGTTCTAAAGAGCTCATGTAAGATGATTTATAGGTAAAAATCATTAGAAAACACTCTCAAATCTTGTTAGAAACTGCATTGTGTCGAAATAGAGAAGAAAAAAACAAAAGAAACAACAGAGTGAAGATGGAAACAAAAATGGGAAAAAGAAGAGCTCTCAAGCTATTTATAAGCTTAAATGCACGAGCTCTAATACCATATCACTCAAAAGCCCATGCTTACCCAGACGAGTCCAATGTGATATAACCAATCATATTTAGCCATATATGCCACGCAACAAATGACGCAAACAAATTCTAGCAAGATTTAGGAATTTCAAAAGACCCAATTGTTTTGTCTTTTTCAACGCCCTCATGTACGAATGATTGGTCTCCACCGAGAAAATACAAGTATCAAAACAACAAGTAAGTAATAAATGATCCTAGTAAAAAATCCAATTGTAGCGAGGCTAAATGGACGACCCTAGATGTGACAAGTATCTCACCCTAAACTTGGACATCAAGTTAATCATTGCGATCACACTTGCCAAGACTCGAAAGGAGCAATTGATATACTCGGATTACACATGTGATCATATAACTCTTAACAAGTCAAGAGATCTCATCCGAATTTTGTTTAAGAAGACAAAACTCCAATTGAGATGTAGGTGGAAAAACAAATCTCACTACATCACCTCTATGAGAGTACCAAACGGTCTCTCCTAGATGACAAGCTTAAACGACTTAGTCTAGTTCTATCAATTGAAAGGAATAAATTATGTATCTATTAAATGAGAGTATACAACCAAGATTAGTTCATTCAACTAATGCCAATTGTAACGTCATCATATTCTCTAAATTATGGCATGTTAATATTAAAGACATTTGTCCTTAAAGTAGATGTCAAAACTTATTGGTAGTAAGAGAATATACTATCCTATCTCTCCTTTCATGTAACTTTAAAAAATAGCTTTGGTTGTATTAAAAAAAAACCTAAAGTTTCAAGTTTTGAATTTCTCAACTAATAACTATTATTTACTATCTCCCACATACTTGCATTACTATATTATTGCCTTCTTTGGCTATAATCTCTCTCTCTATATATAGCAACTTATTCATCGGATAGTCTTCAAATCTATAAAAAGACACTTGTTTTACAAGTATTTTAACTAGCTTAATCTCTATCTATCATTCAACATCACAACTCGCACCAGCCAAGAAAAAACCACATCATCACACATCATTAATTGAGATTTACAACCTCATCATCTACTATATATAAAAATCAAGACGAAATTGAAAACGAAGAAATTAACCTAGTTAGCAAGGATCAATGGCTTTCATTTTAGCTTCAAAAGGAATTGTACTAAGCAAAAAGCTAAAAAACATCCGGATTATCTCTTCCCTCTCTCTAACATATTGTTAAAAATGAAGCTCGTACATTATCAAGTCAAGCTCGGGCTTTAAGAATGAAGCTCGGCTCAAAACTAGTCTAGCTTAAAACACATTATAATTTACCAATTAATAGTGAATTCATATAGCTAGTTTCTTATTGATTTTTAATTAAAGGCCAAACATGAATAAAGTGATTGATAATTAATGTATGGATTAATAGATTAATCTATTTTTATATAATAATATAATTTTTTAATTTATTGTTATATCTCTCGATTGAGTTAGTTTTATCTTTGAATATATGTTAAGTTTTTAATCTGTCATTTTGTTAATATTTTCAAGTCAAATTATCGAATTGTTCACGTGATTTGTACTTGACTATTTTTGTTTTCAAAATGTCGTTACAAATTAGTCAAATAAAAGATTTTTATGGATAAATCGTGTAACTAATTGCAGTAATTTAGCCTAAAAATTTTAGCAAAATGATAGATTAATCACTTAAAGTATATTCAAGAATAAAATTTATGTAATTATGAATATATATAGATTAAAAAATTAATCTATTATATAAAGATGTATTAAGTCATTAACCATTATTGCATTCTTAAATGTTCAATTTCAAAATGCACCTATTTTTTATTTAAATTTCTAAAACATGTGAAACACTATTGTCTCAACTGATGAAGTAGTAATAGCATGTTAACCTCTATGAGATCATCATACTAGTGGTTGAAATCCCTATTTATCGCGTCCCAAGCTATATAGGCTATTCTTTCATTATTAAGAAAACTTTCACAATATGGAATGCAATAATTGTTTCTTTTTCGAGCTTGATTAAGTCTCATTGTTTTAATTGTTGAAATTATTTAAGATTAATTATAAACACTAAAATGAAGCTAAAAAACAATCCTAATAAATAGAGAGGGGTTTAAGCCTCAACAAAAGTTTTTTTTTTTTTTTTTGGTAATTTTCTTAGTTAGTTCTTTACTTCTTATACTTTTCTTTTCAAATTAATGGCCCAAATTTTCCCATTTGTGATAGTACATATATGAAACTAGTGCATATGTTGGAGAGCATAAACAACTCAATGAGTTATAAGAAGCAACGATAAAGAAATATGACAGACTTTGTAAAGTCTATGAATTCACTCATATTACAATTCATATATATATATATATATATATATATAGACAACAAGTATTTATGTAGATAAGTATAGATTAGGTATTAAGAGACTAACTCGATATGGCTAAGGATATTAAGCTAAAGTATAGGAAAAACGAGATACAAATAAACTAATGAAGTCTTATCCTCATTTCTTATCACCCTCTCGCAAGTTGTACAAGATTTAGAAGAACATATAATTTGACTTGTAACTACCGAAACCGATTTCCGGATAATAGTTTTGTAAGAATATCTATAATTTGATCATTAGTAGATAAGTAACACATATGTAACACACTCGTCCGACCTTGTCCTAGATAAAGTGAAAATCTATTTTTAGGTATTTAGATTGAGAGTGAAATATAAAGTGAGATATGTAGTCGAGACATTATCACACCAAATTTTGGACGGAATGTAACCAAGCATACCAATCTTCTATATTGGGGATTTTATCCATTTAAACTTAACATAAGTTATTGCCAAAGCAAGATATATAGCCTCGGTTGAGTAAGGGATAATAGTGCATTACTTTCAAGACCATCAAGAGATCGGATTCTTACCTAAAAAGATTGTATAACCGGAGGTGTTGTTATGATCATCAACATCACCACCCCAATCTAAATCTATGTATGCATTGAAAGAAAAATCAGAAGATTGCTGAATGTATAAGCCATGATCCAAGCATTACTTGAAAATAATGATAGATTTATTATGAGACCGCTCGATGTTTTTTCATTAATGCATGCATATATTGGGCTAATTTGTTCATAAAGTAGGCAAGGTCTAGCTTAGTAATGATAAGATATAGTAGACCATGCACTAAATTATGATAAAGAAAAGATTTAGAAAAGGAAGTGCTTGTTGTCGTATGTAATCTAGTGTTTGGACGAGTTGGTGTACTAATACCGTTAGCGTGATACATATTGGCCTTTTGTAAGAAGTCACAGGTATATTTTTATTGATGAAGAAAAAGGCCACTTATGCTTCAAGAGACCTCTATCCCTAAAAAATAATTAAACCACCCAAGATGCTTTCCTAGAAAACTAAATTGTAGAGTTGAGATGAGAGAAGAAATTAGAGAAATATTACTACTTGTTATAACTAGGTCATCTATATAAATTAAGCGAGAAGATGATATCCTTCTCCGACTTTTTAAAAAATAGAAACATATCGAGTTTGGGACCCGTAGAAGTATAAGGAATTCAACTTATTCGTGAGACACTAGATCCATTGAGGTGGCACTCGCTTTAACTCGGATAGAGACTTCCTCAATTTGTAGACATTAGTGGATTACGTGACATCAACAAAACCTTAAATTTGAGTCATGTAGGCAACCTTCTTTAAGGGTCTATAAAAGAAAGCATTGGAGACGTCTAACTATTTGAAATGCCATCCTAGAGAAACAATAATGAAAAGAATCAATTTGAGTGTTACGAGTTTAATAATTAGATTTTAGGTGTCACCGAAGTCTAAGCCAAGTTATAAGTTAAACCCTTTGGCCATTAATTTGGCTTTGGAGTGATTAATGATGCCATCAGTTTTAGTTTTTACTTTATAGAGCCATTTATTATCAATGACATTGTAGGTAAGGTGGGAAAAAACAAGCTCCTATATTCTATTATCCATCGATGCTTGAAATTCATCATCCATAGTTGACTATCATTGAGGATGTGACTAAGCTTGAGAGTAAGTGGTTGGTTCTGTATGAGAAATAACAATAGAGAAGTTTGAGGCTTTAAATGGCTAGTTTTTTCATGAGTGGTCATGCCATCAAAAAGAGTCATGGCCTTTGTAAATTTTGTAGATGTGGTGGGCTTACCGAGTCGGAGAGTCATGACTGCTGCATGTTTGTAGTGTGTGTGGAATCACTAGGTGAAAAAGTCCTAGCTGTTAGAGAGTTGGACATATTAGGAGACTTGCCATGTGAAAGAATTATAGATGTAAGAGAGTTAATGGTAATTGGGGACTTACCATATGCATAAATAATACATGGTCTAGATTTTGAAGCATTTATAGCCGATAAGAGCTAAGGTCAATGATAAGAGATATAGAGGGATCGGATGGTTGAGGTTATATGATTAGAGTAAAATATGACGGAGTGTAAATATGGGAATGTTGTTGTGTCACATGTTAGGAATCCATATGGGGAATGGAAATTAGAGATTATAAAGGCTATTGCTAGGGGTCTAATGGTGGAGATAGAATAGGATTGTGGGATGAGGAAATAGATGGTATTGTTTGGTAAAGGATTTGAAAATAGCAAAGGTAAGTGAACAACTTCTTGTAGAGTATGGCGCACTAGGAAGTCCTTATTAAAATAGGCAAAGGAAAAAACATGTTCATCAAACAAGACATAGAGTGAGATATGAAAAAACTTCTTGTAGAGTATGGTGAACTAAGAAGTCCTTATATAAAGGTGAAGTTTCAAAAAGGCTGGAATAAGGATACTTATTATAAGAGTGGTGTTGGAAGTCTATTGATGACATAAATTGTAGTATAAAAAACATAGGTCTAAAACAATAATGGAACATAGGCATGACGGATGAGTGTTAAGCCTATTTTAACTATATAACGATGTTTACGCTCAAGCACATCTATTTTATTTTGGTGTTTTGGGACAAACATTTCTTTGAGATATTCCCTTTTTAGTAAGATATTTTGTTAAAGTTTGCTATTCTCCTCCCTAATTAGACTGAACTTTTTTCAATATGTTTATCAAGAATTTTTCAACTATATGAATAGATTTAATGAAGCAACTTATGATCTTGGTTTTATAACGACGAAAAAATAGCCAACAATACTTATTGTAATGATGATAAAATAAAATAAAATAAAACATAATACGAATAATCATGAATAAATGGTACTTAAGAAGAACTCCAAACATCTAAATAAATCAATTCTAATGGTGGCTTATCCTCATAAGTAGATTGAGGAAACAACAATTTATGAATTTTACTAAGTGAACAAGCATGACATAAAGATGAAACTAGTTGCGAAGAAAAAAACTAATTTAGTGTCCTTTAAGGCACGTTGACCTGTCTTAGAGGATGCATAACTAATACGAACATGCTAGGTTGCTAAATTGGCACTATGAGCTTGAATAGAAAAAAGGCATCCCAAGGCATGATCCAAGGAGAAAGTATAGAGATCGGTGTCAAGTGGATCCATGTGTAGTATTTCCTGTGAATCCAAATCCTTTACAAAAAAATTTCATAAAAATTCAAGAGAACATGAATTATTTTTTGTAAAGCTATTGATAGATAAGAGATTTTGACTACTGGAAGGAGCATGTAAGATATTATTAAGACAGAATAGACAATTATTAAGTTGATAAAAAGAAAAACTACTATGAGTAATTGGAACAAGTTTACCACCGATCAATTGCACCTCATAAGGACCATGATACTCATTGTGAATTATAAGATTTTCCAACGGCGTCATTATATGATGAGTCGCACTTGTGTCTATAATCCACTATGAATTATTTAGTGTGGAGTTTGAGAAAACAAGATGCAAGGAGGGTTTAGAGTTGCGGGTTGTTGCTCAAGACCATGGAAAGGGACATACATTGGCAAGATGGCCGGTGCCATTATAAAACAAATAATAGGGCTAGAAGCAGGCAGCACATTATTAGAAATGGAAACCTTTTTGCCGAGAACCGGATGATAGAGGACGTCCATCATGAGAACATCGATCACAACTAAGAAACGATCGATTGGCATAATGAATAAAGATTGGAATTTCAGCGAGTCGAAGGCCATCTTGTAGTTGAAATTCTTCACTTAAAGCAAGACCATATAGAGTCTCATAAAGAATAGGTTTATGCCTTGATTCTATTGAGCGCATGAAGGGGTTGTAGGAAGCACCAAAGCCACGTAATAAAGCCTAAACCAAGTAATGTTCGAGGGCGAGTGAGCCGAGGGAGTGAAGAAGGTCATAGATGCTCTTTCCCTTTTTGAAATATTGAGAAATGGATTCATTTGGTCATTGAACAAGGCGGTAAAGATTTCTTTTGAGGTGATTAACTCTGTGTCCTTGGTGCCGAACCATAAGCGACCACGAGTTTAAGCCAAGCCGCACGAGTCGTGGGTGCTCCAACCACAAAAGGAAGGACTCGCCTCGTCAAATAGTCGACAATTCGGGTGTGGCCCAATTGATCGTGTCGATAGGCTGGATTCGATTCATTATTAGAGAGAGTAGTAGCAAGGAAAGATTGCAAGCCATCAATATGATGTTGAAGACCATGACGACACCAGAGAGGTTGAAATTGTGTTTGACAAAGAATGAAATTTGTATGAGTGAGTTTAAGTAAGGTATGAGAGTTAAGACTAGGAAAAGAGGACGGAATCGTAGAAGAGGAAGCAGTTGGAGGAACTATAGTGCTATCTTGTGATGCGAGTAGCCATGGGGAAGAAAAAAAGTATAATGGGCTCTTAAGTCTCTTTTAGCTCGATACCATGTAAAGTCTATAAATTCACTCACATTACAATACGTTTACGGATGATATATATACGGACAACAAATGTGGAGATAAATATAGGTTAGGTATAAGGAGACTAACTCTATACGACTAAGGATACTAAGCTAAAGTATAGGAGAAGCAGATACGGATAAACCGATGAAGTCCTATCCTTATTCTTATTAAACTTGTAAGTGATATTATTAGAAGTGAGTGAATTTCTTAGAAAAACGAATTTAACTTTCGGTATGCCAAGTCTAGCATTGAGAGTAATCGGACACCGAGCTATAGTATTGAAAATAAGTAACAAATTAGATTAAAGAAATATTGTGCAAGCAATTTGGAATTTGCAATATTGCGAAGTCGGATAGCTATAACGATTCTTGGAGGGCGCTTCCTATCAATGCTTTTGAAAATCATGAATCCCAAGTGGACTATGGAGGTTGGTGTCTTTAAGGCTATTCTCTCCTTTCCACGGCATCGGCATTGCTCGATGATGGTCGAGTAGGTAATTTGTGAACAAAATATCAATTGCTTTACATGATCATCGGCGGCATTAATGCCTTCAAGGAGTGATCGACCTCTCTAGAGCCGGTTTTCAATCCTTGCATCTCTTGATCGGCATGAAGGGAATATGTTAACTAACGACTTCTTACCTACCAATAGCGAGAAACCAAAAAGGAGGAAAAAATATGTGAGAATTGATTAGTGATCACATATTTATATTAGTGATCGACTTGTGCCTCTGCGGATAACGACAATAGACATAGATCGGGAAGCTTATGAAGTTGGATTACCACACATCCAAAAGGTCGGCACGGAGAATAAAATCAATTTCATTCAAGCGAAGCTATCTCGGTTGCAAGTGAAATGTTCAACAACAATGGAGTTTTTTCAATTTCGCAAGCCATTGAACTTAATTGGTTCATGAAAAGAGTTAGCTTTTAAATGCATGCATACTGAATATATATGGGGCAATTGATATATGGTACAACAACATTCCTTAGGATTATCAATATTGTATGTATAATGTTTCGTTTTCTATTGGGCTACATACTTTTGTTTATTATTGAATTTGTTTCGGGATATGCGACGTGATTTTGACTTTGCATTCGTGGATGTCGGCAAGCCTAACTACCGGCATTATCATAAACAATTATTGAAACGAGGTTAAAAGTGGAGGGATAAATGGTTATGATAACACATTGTGGTTTCGGCTTGGTTGCAAAAGAAGAAGATGAAATTCAATAAACGAGATAAGTTCCGATCGCCGTGTGGAGATTTCTCATTGATGATGGGGTTACATTATGCGGGCGCCTTGATCGAAAATAGCAGACCTCCTCAATTTGAACTATTTATTAACGGTACTTATTATGCATAAGCACATGCTCGCAGATTGTCAATTACTAACTTTATGATCTCTTGGAGCAAAACAAATAATTTCCAACTTATAAACTACTATGTGGTAAGCCGTTCGGCTTTATCCAAAGCAGTACCTCTTCTTATATCCCGTAGCTCGTTTCTATGATTGAATGAAGTTGAACCAATATAGCAATTAGCAAGAAAAGCCTATTAAAGGACCATCTCACCTAAAAGGTTAAGTCGATAGGTGAGGTCCTAGAATATAATTTATACTAGTCTTTAACATATCTCCTATTTGAACTTAGGACCTCAAGGTCAATTAAGCTCGATACCATATTAAAGGACCATCTCACTTAAAAGGTTAAGTGAGATGGTAAGCACGTTCGATTTTATCCAAAGCGGTACCTCTTCTTATATCCCGTAGCTCTGTTTCTATGATTGAATGAAGTTGAACCATCCCGTAGCTCGTTTCTATGATTGAATGAAGTTGAACCAATATAGCAATTAGCAAGAAAAACCTATTAAAGGACCATCTCACCTAAAAGGTTAAGTCGATAGGTGAAGTCTTAGAATATAATTTATACTAGTCTTTAACACATCTCCTATTTGAACTCGGGACCTCAAGGTCAACCAAGCTACGATACCATATTAAAGGACCATCTCACCTAAAAGCTTAAACCGATAGGTGAGGTCCTAGAATATAATTTATACTAATCTTTAACAAAACCAATCACCCTTAATGCATGCCCACAACGATCTCGAATAAGACCACCAATTCTAGCATCGCTAGCTTTACCCAAAACAGTATTCCCATCAACAATCAACTTTCACCAAGAAGCTTGAGGATCTAACGCCACGAAATAAGTATTACATTGTCACTATGGTATCCGTGTAGTCTATTTCTAGTTGATTGGCTAGTCGGTTATACGGTGTTTTGAACTTTTGGTCATTAGGTTTCTAACCTTTTTTTTCATCCATAATGAAGTTTTTTTTTAACCATTCACTAAATCAAAACAATAACATATGTTTTAAAAAAGTCATTTCTAGACACATGAATTATTAAAATAACAGCAATTATTTTAAAAATTTTAAAACATAAGATATGTGTTTTTGTTTTAATGGTCAACGGAACAAAAGGACTTCCTTAAAAGAAATTTAAAAAAAATTACAAACTCAAATAAAAATAAAAATAAATTATATATATATTTTTTATATTAGACTAAAAATTCGGAGTAATTTATTATAACCAATTAGCCCAATTGATTTGGTTTGTGACTTTTTTATAGGAAGTACTTGTTGCTCGTCCTTTATCTCTAGCTAGAACGCTAAAATATTCTTCAAGGAAAATACAATTGGCCAATGTGCCTTTTCCATTTCAATGCATCTTTATGACCTAATCTTCCATTTAATACAAAAATATATTATTAAAGGAAATCTAATAGCAAATCGTGCAGGCTCTGCATCAATAAGATTCATTCAACTATAACGGCTGTGTCATGATTAAAAATTCTTTTTTAGCAACAGATTAGCCGAGTTTCTACGTTATGATACAAGTCGGATTAAATATATTTATTTTAATTTAATAATATATATTAAATTAAATTAAAAATAAAAGATAAAATTTCATATAATTATAGTTTTTAATTAAAATTTTATATTTATTTTTAATAAATTTTATAATTAAAAAAATACGAATTGTTATGGATTAAGTGTTTTTTTAATAAAAATCCATAATAATCTAAATATAAATTTTTTTAAAAAATATATCTTAATAATTTTTAATTTCATATCATTCCATCAAAAAATACAGAAATAATCAATATAAAAATTATATAAAAAATAACAAATTAATATTTTTTATTCTTATTTAAGATTGATGACAAGATTAATTTTTTTTTAAATGTATACATTTGATTTATATATATATTTACTTACAAAATAATGAATAATATTAATATAAAAAGTTATATTTGAATTATTAGGCGGTTCTTCTAAAATATTATTTTAATTAATTTATTTGAAAAAGTTTAATTTTTAAATATTAAAAAACATAATAGGGTATGGTTGGTGTATGTATGTAGATGTATAGTTAATTTTCAATAAAATCGATGATCCTAATTTTTTTATACATCGTGATCATATTCGAGTGGGTCGAGTGTGCGGCATAAATCGAAAAATATTTTAAAATATATAAGTTGTAAAAAATATTTTGAATTTAATATTGTGCAATAAAAACAATTACAAAATATATTTTGATAAAATTTGATTATATAAAAAATAAACAAATAAAACTGGTGAATTCTATTTTTAAAATTTAATTATATAAAGGATAAGCAAATAAAAATAACTAAAAAAAAACTCATTTAAAAATCTCTACATAGAGAAAATAAATCATGTTTGTAAACAAATATAATTACTTTAAAATTTAAAAAAAATTAAAAATCAAAGTGTAATACTTATCAAAACTTGTATATAAAATACCTAAACATACGTCCAAAATTATAAAAATATCATATCAAATGTCTAAATAAAGCTTTAAAATCACAATAATATCATTCAATACAATAATATTAAATAAATAGTAAATAAATAATAAAATGAGTTTAGATGAATAACAATTGAATAGTAATCATTTCAAATCTTTTAGGTTTTCTTACAATATAGAAATCTTTTTATTATGCTAGCTATTTTCTTTTCAGTAATGTGTTTTGAGTTATATGCTAAGAGTGCTTCTCACAAGCCTTTAGAGGCACCAAAAAGAAATTAAAACTAGTTTTTTTTTTTTTTAGGTTAATTGGTTTTATAATATCGTAAAATTTTAATCAAACAAAGATATATCAATTTTTAATTTTTTTTTCTTTTTTCCCCTTTTTCTTTCTCACTTTTCTTTACTCTTAGTGGCTCAGTCTAGCAGTAGTCATTTTATTCTCTCCATATCTACAGTAGCTCTGTCAAGAAAGGAAAAGGATCTAAATGTGATTCCAAGCTAATGAGTTTGAAAGACAAGCCATCAAAAACCATTGCAAAAATATAACCATAAACATTTGGATGTTGAGAAGAGAAAGAAAAATAGAGGAGAAACGAAAGAGAAATAAAAAAAGAAAGAGAATTAGTAGAAGAGGAAAAAAAAAGACAAAAACAAAGAGCAGAGAGAAGTGAGAGATAAAAGGGCAAAAAAGAGAGAGCGAGAGAGAGAGAGAAGTAAAAAGAGATCCGGAAAGAGGAGAGAAAGAGAAATAGAAAAGAAGGAGAAAAAGAAAGAAATAATAGAAGAGACAGAAGAGGAAAAGAAAGAAAAATAAAGAATTGTAGGTATTTAATTTGCATTTGAGTTCTTTCGTCATTTTACTTTTTAAGTGATTCTCACGTGTAAAAAATATCGTAGAAAATCGATCAACAAAATGGTAGGATTTAATTGCTACCATTTCTGCTTGATCAGAACTTCAAATATTATAGAACCAATTGATCTTTTTTAAAAAAAAAAAAACATTAAACGGTCCGAACCGCATGTTTTGAACATCCGGTTTGATATAATAAGTCATGACTTAATTGCTACCAGATTTTTCAAAACATTCGGTTCAATGCAGCAAGATATTCTGAACATCAGTTCATCAACGTCATGCTTTTGTATCCATTACTTAAAACTCATGGAATCATTCAAGATTTTGCTGCCACTTTAGAAAAACTGACATCCAGTTCAACTGGATCTATCCATATACATTTGAGAATTCTCCATAATAAAGAAAATCCTTTTTCTCAATCCCAAATTCTCAATTCCTGATTTTTTATTCCATTGTTTTCAGAATTTTAACATATATTTTTAAGTGGAATTTGTTGAAAGAAGAAGAGGACACGTTGCTTACAGCAATCATTCTATATTCTGTTATGTGCTATAACTAATTAACAAACACTTACAGTTAGCACAAATTAGTTACATAGTTAGCAAGTTAGTTAGATAACAATTCATTCTTCTCTTCGCTTTCCCTCCAGTATATATATATATATATATAGCTAAGGGGACTATGTAAATGTTAACTCTGAAACAATAACTCATTTTCTTCAATTCTCTCCTCTGTTACTGTTGCTGTTTCTCCCGGAATTGTTTCAGATCTTAACTACTATGATGTGAAGAGACACTGAGCTAGTTGTTCTAGTTTTGTGCCATCATATTTAGATTAATAGTAGTTTGTTGCATGCGCATTCTAATTTGATTTGATGATCCTAGTCGTGCGCAAGTCCAACAAAATATATCGAAATCAAAAGTAATTTTTTCTTTTCACCTAATTGTATGATTTTTTAATCAAAATCTTGTAATTAATGAATTCTTTCTTATGTTCTTTTTAATAGATTATCTTCTTAACCAAATGATTTTTTTTCTTTATGCATTAATTCTTAAATAAAAATTGGTAATAATCTAAATAGAAAATTTCAATTTATCACAAATTGGTACCAAAATCTTGTACTTGATGAATTCTTTCTTGTGTTCTTTTTAATAGATTTTTTCTTAACCAAATGATTTGTTTTTCTTTATGCATGAATTCTTAAATTAAAATTGGTAATAATCTAGAG